CGGAGGTGATCCGTAGCGCAGAGATAAACTTCATGAATATCAAACGTAGGAAAATGGATTTTTGGAAATATCATGTGTGTATGATTAGGCGCACTAGGGTTTATTGTCCACTTACACGAGGGACGGCCTAAGTGAGAAAAAGACCCATTGGCGGCTGTACGAGCGTACCCCAAATCTTAGAACCAGTACAGTAATACACAGAGACTAGTTTATTAGTATAGTGGCTCCCCTTGACAACATATGTAATATAAGAACACCCCTGTATGAAACTTTTATAAACGCCTTTATAAATGTTCACAACTCCGTCATGAAACCAGCAGTTGCATAATGAAGTTCTCCTAAGTGTTGACTAGAACTCTACCAGGAAGTTGTGCAGGTATCCATGAGCTGAAGCCACGGCTGTATTATTTTAGCTGTCCATCTCTGGATGGACCATTAGCCAAAAACGACCACTGTCTTGCGGCCCCTTTCGCAGGACAAACAGATCACTGAAAGTGATCTCAATACAAAGGACAAATGTATCATGGTGTCTTTTTTAGGGTAAAAATCTCCAAGAGGACTCTAGGCTATTTTCTTGAAGGAAACTACTCACAAGGTTGCGGAAAAATCTTCAACAGCTCACGACCGGTTTCGTCTTTCTTGGGGCTCATCAGCTGGGCGCAGTCCCCGAGTTTCCATTAACCATTAACGAGAGATTCAGTTGAGTCTCTCGTGAAGACCAAATTGGTTTGTAAATGGGTGTATTTCTCGAAAGTAGTCCAATTTGGGTTTAAGTAGAACATAAGGTTGACGGAAATTCGGGGAGTGCGCCTACCCGATGGGCTCCAAAAAGGGCAAGACCGGTCGTGGGCTGTCGAAGAGTTTTCAGCAGCCTTGTGAGTAGTTTCTTTTGGCGAAAAATATACTGCGATGTCTCGAATATCACACCTATGTGCAGCACATTCAGTTGTAGAATATCACAAATGAGAGATTCGGTTGAGACCAAACTGATTTCTCGTGAACTCCACGCTGTTCGCTTCACATAGTCTTTCCAAGATTGAAAGTGCAGGGATATCTGCAGAGGTCTGAATAAAAGTGCCGCTTTCGACAGCTAAGTTTTCCTTAGAAGCACATAACTATCCAAAAACTCATCAAGTAAAGTCTAACACGAAAAATGTTCTTTCCAGAGGAGAACTATTCAATGAGCCATTCAATGAGCCGATTGGAACATCCAAGCTATACTACTGAATTCAGTAGTAACTAGAAATCGCAAGGAATTGTTAAGCACATCATTGCGTTACCTAGGTTACCAGGTACTTCCCTGGGAAAAATCGATCAGGTTATCTTCCCGTCCTCATCCAAAAGTAACTGGACCGAGGGACTTGACCGGTCCGGATAACTAAGTAAAGTTGCTGAGCTAAGCCGTGGTAGGACAATACGGCGCGTCTGCTTTCCCGTAGGTTATCATGTACAATGAGACAAGCAAAGGAGAGATAGTACACTATGAAGAAAGCATCGAAGGAAACAAAACTGGCCTTTATTGTGGTTGTCGTCATGGTAACTGGACCAGTGTGGCGCACTGAAATATTTCGACCAGTTATCACCGGTGAAACTGAACGGTAAAATTTTCAAAACGTTTGCACCTCGAACGGACAAGGAAACGAAGTGGATAGATGGATGCTCGTCGATTTGGAGTGACACTCAATTAAACTCTCGGGGATGATATCCTCTAAATGAATGTACTGGGCAGCCTCTTGAGTAATACGAGATCAAATTGGTTCGCTAAATTTTGCAGCAAAGTAAAACACGTAGGTTACCAACTTGAAAAAGGTGGGTGTCATTCATGTTTTCATACCAAATAACAGCTTCTCTTCTGGGAAGAAGTTGCCTCCCATCCACCGGAAGAAATTAGGAGTTGCTGCAACGAAAAAACGTCAAGTCCAGCCGTCGGTCACCGTGACGAAATTTCCCTACCATTTCGGAACCTGCAGCGCTCCACAAGCTTGAATTTGGACCGCAGTTAGTCGTCATCACCTCCAACTTATGAGTTTACATCACGAAGGTTTCGACTAAGCCAAGTACAATTCAGTATTGATCGTCACGTGCACAAATTCAGTGTCGAGGCCTAACAATCCATATGCCATATGTAAGCAAGAACAGAAAAGCGAAAATCTGATGAGATCGGCAATCGGTCAACCAATCAGCGCAGAGCACAACCTCGCGAAGATCACCGCCATTGTCTGCAACCCTTGTGCTTCACTACCAAACTATGAGAATCTGTTTGAATAGAAACGGCTACAAACACCTGGCTACGCCATTTGTTACATCGTCCCAAAGCAGGAACATGTGATACGTAAAATACGGAATTTCACAATTCGAAAGCGATGGAAGGCGGGTGGCTAGAGAGAATGTACGACCTCGGTCATGAGAAACGGTCAAATTTTTTGGAACATGGTGTCAGCTTTAAGCTGGCTAGGATCAAAACCTCCAGACAGGTCAATTCAACAGGAGGTTTGATAACAATGACGTAACCATCGTGGACTGAGTGTCTGACGATCAAAAGACTTGGATTGCGATCAATTAAAGTCCTCTTTTTTCACAGCCGATCTTACGCACGAGACCCTGTGAAAAAGGCTGTTTTCCACGCGTTTCGTAAAGGATTTCAAGAGCTAACGTCCGCTCCTCATTCGAACTAGTAGTTGTAACTCAGCTGCGTAATAAGTTCCCCTGAGTGCGACATTCACAATTCTTTCTACGCACATGGTTGTCTCATCTGTTTATGGGACAGAGGAAGGAGCATGCGTTTCTTGACTCCGGTTACACCCTTCTTGGGGCTCATCAGGTAGACGCAGTCCCTGAGTTTCCGTCAACCTTACGTTCTACTTGAACTCAAATTGAACTGAGTTCGACATTTGCAAATCAGTTTGGTTTTCATGGGAGACTCAACTGAATCTCTCATTTATGATATTCTACAACTGAATGTGTTACACACAGGCCGCCTCATGATTCAGTTGGCACGATATTCGAGATATCACAGCATAGTAGTTTCCTTCAAGAAAATATACTGCAATATGTCGAATATCGTGCCAACTGAATCATGAGGCGGCCTGTGTGTAACACATTCAGTTGTAGAATATCATAAATGAGAGATTCAGTTGAGTCTCCCATGAAAACCAAACTGATTTGCAAATGAGTGTATTTCTCGAAAACAGTCCAATTTGGGTTCAAGTTAAACATAAGGTTGACGGAAATTCGGAGACAGCGCCTAGCTGGTGAGCCCGAATCGGAAGGGCGAAACTGGTCGTGGGCTGTCGAAGAGTTTTCAGCAACCTTTTGAGTAGTTTCCTTCATGAAAATACAATGCGATATCTCGAATATCGTGTCAACTGAAACATGAGGCGGCCTGTGTGCAGCACATTCAGTTGTGGAATATCGTAAACGAGAGATTCAGTTGAGTTTCTGGTGAAAACCAAATTGATTTGTAAATGAGAAAAAGCATGTGGTGTTTTTAGTGTTCTGTTCAGGTAGGCAACCCATTTGACCCACTTGGCCGAAATATCCTAGAAAACCCTATTTTCTGTCTCACTGAGAGCTAATCACACTGCTGACGAGCGACTCGCGGCCGAATTAGTAAATGTTCGACCACTGATCAGAAGGCCTGAGGTTCGAGGCTCTAAATTTCGTGAGACGCGCATGCTGGTGAGGAGCTGCACAGTGGTCTTCACCATCGCAGCACCACCCCCCAGCTACCCCGGAACGGGAGTTGGCACACTGTTTGGGTGACCAAAAAATAGCCACAAGTAGAGTCAACAGTTCCTCTCTAGAAGCACGAGCGAAGAGCGATTGAGCGCGAGAGGGGACGTATCAGTCCTGCCCAAGATATTGATGAACGCAAAAGTGTTTTCGGTTTCACGATCTCTCCTAGCCATTCATGACCCCTTCCTGACTAACAAGGTTTTTGCGAACTGGTGTGTAACCGGTTAAGCTTGGGTGCACGGAAATCGATAGATTTCAGTTCGAAATAGATCCCCACTGTGTCACGTACTGTCGCATTTTTGCCAATTCCCAACCGCAAATGCTCCGTTTTGGTAATATAATCCGTTTTCTTTTGCGAACTGGTGTGTAACCGGTAAAGCTTGGGTGCACGGGAATCAATGGATTTCAGTCCGAAATAGATCCCCATTGTGTCACGTACGGTCGCATTTCCGCCAATTCCGAACCGCAGATGCTCCGTTTTGGTAATATAATCCGTTTTGTTGATAACATCATGACATTTGTTGATGTTACCATCTTGCATTGTTCCAGTACGGGATCATGTAAGAGTATGCGTCTGATACAGCAACTAACTAACTAAAGTCTCTTTCTGAGAGGCCAACTATCGGGTCGAACAGAGTTTCGGGTTCTCCGCTGGTAAGTGAGGAGTCAGCTGTCTGCAAATGAACATTGAAGCCTAATCTCATCGGTAGCGTCATGGTAGCGACATGGTAATAAAATTGACCAATGCTAATACAACTAGACCCGGGAAGGAGTATCGTACGTTCTGCTGTTTTCAACTGTCCACCCACTGTCATCAGTCAAGTCCTGTTGAACTGCAATTAGTTACTTCCTTGTGAAGGTTGGAAGAACGCACGGACCCAGACTCGGTCTACCACAGGTGTTGCACAAGATCCTGGTGGGAAATGCTAGAACAGATGCAAGTGGTGTTGATTTTTGGCCATACTGCGAACTATAGTAAGGTGCACTATAGTACAGTATAGTATAGTATAGTATAGTATAGCGTATTATAATATAGCATAGTACAGTATGGTATAGTATAGTATAGTACAGTACAGTACAGTACACTATAGTACAGTACAGTATGGTGTAGTAAAGTGCAGCGAAAATGCGGGAATCTCATCCCGACGACGAGTTGTTTCCTCATCCTCCCCAATTGTTCCACATACCTTGTGAAATAAGCATCAAACCGAACAGACAACACAAGTGAAACCGAAATTTTTTTAATTAACTCGGCCAAAACCTACCTTGTTCACTTCGACTGCAGTTTCCTTGTTTGACTCGATACGATGCTGTCTTCGCGCCGGTTTCAAATAGACCTTGCTACCTTTGTACATGGCACAGGTACCCTGGAACTTTGCTGCGTATAAGCTCATCAACATTTCCGTGCTGAAACCAGACGCCTGTGAATCCTGTCAGAACAAAACAAGACGGTGGTGTTGTGTGAATGAACAGCATTTTATGTCGCAGAGGTATTTGAACAGGTTTTCAAAATGACATTAGGACTGCAAACCCAAGTCAGTGAGTGACTCACTATCAATAGTCGATAACTAAGGTGACTTCTTCTGAGTACCGGCCTCGTAACTGGAACCGCTGTACCAACGCTGTATTCCCTGGGTTGCAGAGGTGTCCTCATCATTAGCTTCAAAGAACCGCGTGTTTCTCGTACAGTGTTTTTAGATGCCACAATTTTGTTCAACGATGCTGTGGGGAGGTAGCTAAGGACTGTGGACGGTGGCTAACATAAGTGATGCGTGAATACAAGAGTGTGAGAGTAGTTTTGACTGGGAGACTGGAAAGGGCCGCTATGCATCGAAAGAAACAGTGTGAATGAATGCGCGCCATTGAGTGCGTGAGCGGGCCCCATCGATGAAGACGGTAATGATCGGCGCATTTGAGTTTGCCGGCAATGGCTTTCATACTGTCAGGTTATTCCTTCATCCGGCTCGTTCACACCCTCCGCATCATTGAACGAAAAGGGCTCTGCGGAGAAGTCGGTCGACCCACGTATGGAACACGTGACTAAACCAACGCTCCAGGCTTCTTAATCAGGATGAAAATATCATCTTTGGCTACAACACAGGTACCGGCACAGCTACTACCTCAGTCAGCTAATCTACAAACATGCGGCTGGGGTTCGAGCCCACCCACCCTTGCAACAGTATGTCAAACGAGGCAGAATTGTGTATGTTGTCCAATACCGTCTGCACTACGAAGGCGTCAGATCCAAGAACAGAAGTTTTCTGTGTAAATGTCGGCGAGCGACCAGATAGATTTCAGTTTGATCGTGGTTAACCAGTTTTATTAACGTTCTAGCTATTGATAATATGTCCATTTTTTCCATGAGTGATGAGCACAACGTCGTTTCCAATAGCAGTGTGCTTTTGTTCATAGTCACATAGAAAACGAGAATTAGTGTTCCTTTGTCTCCGCCAAGTAGAATATCATTGTTTGAGTGAGTACCTCATTAGGCTGAGATTTTAACCATCAAACCAAGCTAAACGCTGTACAAGCAGCCTCAATTATTCATTTGGAACAGGTTGCTTGAGTTTTTCTGGAGTTAGAGATGCTCGCCACACGCAGTTTGTAGTTCACTATCAGTTCAGTTCACTCGTCTTGACACGACACCTTTCTAGACAAACAATAAACAGTTCAACGTTCATCATGATCCCCACATCAAATCAGGGCCATTGTGGCCCCATTGAAATTGAAAAATGGTACTCAACAAGCAGAACGGGGATCTTATTTATTCCCGAGGGATTCTAATTCCTTCCGTTCAACGTGACATCCCATTGAGCAGTTCTCCACAAACGAGAAACGGCTCGACAGACCTCGCTTCACACAGTGACCTGCATCCTCGTAAACGCCTATCATGACCACAAGTCTTGTCTGACCAATCACGTGCTTTCAGTCTCAATTTAAAACAAGTTATGAAACTTTCATAAAGTAAACTACTCACAAGGTTGCTGAAAACTCTTCGACAGTTCAAGACCGGCTTCGTCCCTCTTGGGGCTCATCAGGTAGGCGCAGCCCCGAGTTTCCGTCAACCTTATGTTCTACTTGAACCCAAATTGGACTGTTTTCGAGAAATACACCCATTTGCAAATCAGTTTAGTTTTCACAGTCCAATTTGGGTTCAAGTAGAACATAAGGTTGACGGAAACTCGGGGCTGCGCCTACCTGATGAGCCCCAAGAGGGACGAAGCCGGTCTTGAACTGTCGAAGAGTTTTCAGCAACCTTGTGAGTAGTTTACTTTATGAAAGTTTCATAACTTGTTTTGTCGGGCTGGCTCTATCTCCACGTAACCAACGGTTCCCCGAGGCTTATTTTGGGATACAGTACGAAGTGATCGATAATCTGAAATTCAGCCAACAATCTGATAATACATCCGGAGGTGGGACAGATGTTGTGATCTCAGAGCACACAGCTAACGCCCGGCGCTTCCACGAATATGCCTGAAAATCTGTAGCTCAGATGAGTTTGAGTGCGCGGTTGGATGGGACCAACAAACATGCCTCCTCGCATTGAAAGGGCTGCAAGCCAGCTGCCAAGCTAAACGAACACACCATCCGTTCGACGAAAATCGGAATCGTTGAGCTGTGGGAACCTTTCGGTGCTCAACTGACATGCCATCCGAAGGAAGCACGAGGGCTGGGCAGCCCAAGCCTGGACAGGGGAAGTCGAGAGGCAGAGGTCGGATTCGTACTTTCTGGACTTTCTGGTCAGTGAATTTGCACTCTAAACGCTGAGCCATCTCGTCCCCGATCTGTTCAACATATCCAGCCGGAATAGTCAAGAGGCACTTCAAAAGACAAACTGGTCTTTACTCCAACATTCGGACGCATCTCTTAGTCCGAATCCAAATACCACTTCGACAAGCGGCGTTAGTTTGTGCGTGGACCGTCCCTTCGTGCATTTTGTTTGCATTGTAGACATCACCGTCGGGAGGGTCGTCCACCGAGTTGTTGTAAATTTCTTATAGCACTCGTAGATGAATTTGCCGTTCGTTCTTCTGACGACTGTTCCAACCAATTAACATGTAGAGTAGAAATCTCGTCAGTGGATTAGTCAAAAATACGTTAGATTACAGCGCATTCACACAGGAGCCAACCTCATCATAATCCTCGTTGACAGTAGAACATTACTGTTCAACAGTGACACTTCACTGCTGGATTTGGACTCAAACGATGGCTCAGTAGTTAGAGCGCGAATTTACTGACTAGAAGGTCCGTGGTTCGAACCCGACCTCTACCTATCTACTTCCCTTGTCTAGGTTTGGAAAACCTGGCAGTATCCGAGCCCTCGTACTTCCTTCTGGTGGCATGGCAGCTATTCACCAAAAGAGTGCTACAGCTGAACAAGTTCTACTCAAACGATCGATTGGTTGCCAACCAAAAACCCTTAAAATGAGGATAACTGACAAGAACCGTTTGGAAAACTGAGAACTTTAAAGCAACTCAGTCTCCACAATATCCACACTAGCTTGCTCGGAAATGCGTTCGAGGAAGCCCAATTTAGACGGCAAAACAAATTTCGAATACTCACCTTTTTTCGTCTTCCCGTTGTGTTCTCAAACAACACTGAAGGATCAAACTGGAGCAGGAAAATGCGGGGACGAGGATAAGCGAAATAAGTGATATGTTTTGAATTTTCAAGTTTCATGGGTCAAAGTTCATAGCAGAATACAAAGAATCCAAAACAGCCAGTGAACAAACTGTATACTCGTGATCACTATCAAGCTCTCGCTCTCTAAATGATTATCTTTTATCTGGAGAAAACGTTTTCTTGGTTTTATTCGTAATGCATCACTCATAAGGTTGCTGAAAATTCGCCGACAGCCCAAGACCGGTTTCGCTCATGAAATAAGCGCAGTCCCCGAGTCTCCGTCGACCTTGTGTTCTCCTTGAAGCCAAATTGCACAAAATTAGCGAAATACACTCATTTGCAAACAATTTTGGTTTCGCGAGAGACTCACCTGGAAACCAGCTGAATCTCTCGTTTGTGGCAGTTGGCGGAAACTCGGGGACTGCGCCTACCTGATGAGCCCCAAGAAGGGCGAATGTGGTCGTGGGCTGTCGAAGAATTTTCAGCAACTTTATGAGTAGTGCATTACGAATATACTCGCGTCGCGATATCTCGAATATCGTAGCGACTGAAACCTGAGGCGGCCTGGTGCAGCACATTCAGTTGCCTGGAAACATTAAAACCGAGAGATTCATCTGGGTTCCAAGTGAGCCTCTCGCAAAAACAAAGTTTGTTTGCAAGTGAGTGTATTTCGCTAAAACACTCAACAGTCCTTCCGAGAAACAACTGCTCCCAGCAAAGATGACGGCGATTGTCTCACGAGCCTTAGTGAAGGATTTAAAGCTTCTATCCAAGAACTCCATGCTAATCGACAGTGCTTTCCAAAGTGTTAGCGCTGACAACTCAAGTGGTCTTAGAATGTAAAAGCCCCTGGAATTTGAAAGTGCTACTGGTGGGTGAGTGTCCCTTGTCAACATGAAAGTTGCCTGGGTCTAAAAACAGACATATTGTTCCCCAATCAGGAAACCTCCTGAGGACTCGAATCGCAGTAGAGTCATCACAGAGACGTACAATACGCCTAAAAAACGAGCTTTAATAGCTTGGGCTAACTGTCAGTAGAAGCGAACGATGGCAGTTGGAAGCTTAGTCAGACAAACTGTAGTTCTAGAAACCGTAACTTGAGCACATGGCTCCAAAAGTTTGCCAATAAAGCAACTTTTCGATTGCCCCTTACTCAGTAGTTTATCCTAGGAGGCTGCAAGTGATACGGTTGTCTTGGAGCACTCGGTCCGGGGACGACTCGAATGCTAGATCCACTTCGTTCATCGTTCATCTGTATCACCCTTTCGGTGCCTAACTGCCATGCCACCCGAAGGAAGCACGAGGGCTGGGATACTGCCAGGTTGCCCAAGCCTAGACAGGGAAGTCGATAGGTAGAGGTCGGGTTCGAACCACGGACCTTCCGGTCAGTAAATTCGCGTTCTAACCACTTGGGCCATCTCGCTCCGTCATAGTGGAATATGGTTCGCTAGAGCACTCATAGCATTGGATTTCTATGGGCGCCATCCCCTAAACCGTACATCATCGGGTAAGCCTCTCTGCTTCGATGAGCATTGAAAGACTGGGCTTCCTGAATCAACATCTCATCTCGTTCGTACTTTCACTCGCCGATATTGCAAGCGCTTGTCAATACCTTTTGCTCAGATCAAACGTTGCAGTCATGGCAACCATTGGAAACATTGCTATCCGCATACCTAAACACGGTGACAGGATGTGAAGAGTGTTTCCAACGGGCCTAGCTGGTTGTTGATCGGACAATGAAATTCGGCAATGATCCAGTGATCCAATAGGACGTTGGTTGGAGTTCAACTCTGTAATCTGTTATGCGCGTGTCACGTATGTCCGGAAACTGGGATACTTTTTAAAATGGATGAACCACACGTTCTGGTAGCTTCAACATTCATAGTCAGGCTTAGGAGTACCGATAGATAAAAGGTAATTGATTTGAAACGTTTCACCACCAATCGAGGTGCGTTATTAGAGCGCGTAAGGATGGTTCTGCGTCGCATGTCGATATACCCGCTGCTAGCCGGATCCGATCAGGATTGGTCATTCGGTCGGTCGGTTCCATTGGTTGGTCTCTCATCCTATGTCCTGATTGGTCGGTGACCCTATCACCTTCCCTGCTCTCGTACTCTGGTCGATGCTGGAATAACCTCTGAGTTCCAGTTGCACTTCGTCGGTCAGTTAGCCTAACAGAGACCATATATTTGACAAGCAGACCGAAATCCGACAAAAGCAAGCAGTTGTACAGGATCGTGGAGGAAGTATCCTCAGGAATTGAAAGCCACATTCTAAAGACCAGCAAGGTGGCACTAGTAAAAGGAAGCAGCTATATCAGATTCCCACGAAGTGGGCCTACTTCTCGCTCAGGAAATAACCAGAGACAAGTTACTTGTGCGTGCACTATATGCAAAACCACAAACCCAAACATTACGGATTTTTGCATAGAGGACACCTTCGACTTAAACTATTAGATTATAATTCAACAGAGAACTCTTCCACATCAAGCAGAGAGGTAGAGCATTAATTTTTCCGCTATCCCCACTTGTCAACCATTTGTTTACAACCACCGTGGGTTCACTTGTTGTGTCGAGTCATTTTCAAGACTGAATGGTGTCAAACACCGATAAATACGTCGGTATCGCTCTCTATCGCTCTTCTGCCACGGAGCGTCGTTCTCAGTTGTGACCAAGGAGACACATTTCGAATAGCCACACAGACAATCTCAAGAGGCAGTCGCCCGGTTCAGCGCGGTTTTTCAACTTCGAACCGTGTATCGCAGTGCAGCGGTTCAAGAAGCATCTCGTTATCATCTCAGGATACTGTTATTAGGCCTGATGAGGTAAATTCGATGTTCATCAGAGTGAGGCTCAAAAGATCATCTGACCTGGATGTTCTGATTGCGAAGTTTCCAAAGGAATTTGTGGAATATCTGTCCCTTCGGACGTCGCTAACTGATACTTGCCTTACGAAAAGAGTTCCCGGTTCACATAACGAGGCTAAAACCAACCATATCGTTCAGCTGTGATATCCTTTTGGTGCCTAACTTCCATGCCACTAGAAGGAAGTACCAGGGTTAGGATACTACCAGGTTGCCCAAGCCTAGACAGCTGGAGTAGAAATGCAGAGGTTGGGTTCGAAGCACGGACCTGCCGGTCAGTAAATTCGCGCTCTAATCACTGAGCCATCTCACCCCTGATTGACAACAAGTATGCATGATTTCTTGAAGGTTTTATGAACATTGTTTTCAGAAAGGGAGAAAAAGGTCCGCAGTAAGACCACTCGTCGCAGTTTGACTGCAGTTCAGGGGTTCGAGCTCGAAAATTGATCTAAAGACACATCGGACAATATGGCTCCTGCACTGCTTGCATGGTTCAACAAGGTATAAAAGCCCTATTCCATGACCTCTTCAGCTGAATCTCAGCAATCCCGGACACTGGCTCTGGTGTTTTTCAAGTCACCATTCTTATAAACAGACGATTTTATGATACCCTGATACAATGATCGCGTGGCTGTTTTTGTCCTATCCAAACTTGTTTGTCCCCTACAAGTCAGTTCCAATGGATCTCATCTCTTAATCAAACAGGAGCACAGTATGAGTTCCACATGATTGATTTATAATAGCTGTCCTGCTAACAAGCACGACCACCTTTTCCAGGCTGAAGTATGGAAACACGTTCCCGTCATCCACCATATTATACCGCCCTTCGTCGCCATCTGTGTTTTTAGCCTCACTGTTTCCCTGTGACTGTGATGGTGTGTTCGCAAACGTTCCGCACCTATTGTTTTGACTGGGAACTGCTCCATCTCGAAGAGTTGTTTCAGCTTTAACTGAATTTTTAGTTGAAATCCTCTTGGTTTGACTGACTTCACCTGAGTCTTGTGGTTCAGTCCTTATCACTAATTTCACCGCCCGGAACGACTGTCTTATGTCAAAAAAAGCCTACGAAACAGTTTGGCTCGAACCGAACCGTACTCTCTCGAAGCATTACCACTACAACTACAAGACAAGCTGTTGCTAAGAGGAAAGGAATTTAGACCGAGCGGGTACTGGCAGCATCCAGCTGCTTGCAGTCGCCTCTGGAGTCAAGTAATCATCTGAGCATTGGACTGGTGACTCACTGCTGCGCCTAGGATCCGGTAAGGAATGCAGTTGTGCAACGCCCAAAACCTGCATTTTGAAACGGCGTTCAGAAAGCTCAATTGCCTAAGGTAAATGCGACATTGTCTACCTAATGCCTGTCACATTTGGCTGTGATATAAAAAGAAATTCCTGTTCAGATTAAGCTCATAACGAAGTTGGATACGGACCAGCTGCGCGTACAGGTGCAAATGTCCAGTACCGAGGTCATAGCACTTGAGGCTACGGCGTCAGCACAGGCCAGACAGGGGACGCGGCTGTGTATGAGTCACGCGATCGATCAAACGGTGACACATTCCTGTCAAACGCGAATCGATATGGCGGCCGCCACCAAAATATGCGGAACTCGTCTAACCATCTCTTCTTTTAGGTGATCGTGGGAGAAGTGCAACTCTGGATAAAACAACCTGACTTTGTGTAAGGGAACTCTACGAGCTACAGCAATCGATGTGAACAAAACATCAATGCTCGGCAGGTTTGACCAGGCAGGTCTGACCCCTTGTTCCTCTTCTTCTCTAGTTATTGACGATTGTAGTTCTTTGTCGATGAAGTGTTTTCATATATACAAACAGAACTCATCTTATCCTACCTAAACTATGCACAGAAACATATGGATGAGCATTTTACTTATCCACCGCGGCGTGTTTCCACGGGGAACATCGTGTCAAAATTGACAACTTCCGCCCTTTGAGAGCCTATTGATTTCTTCAAGGACTACGTTGGGTGACGGAGCACAAAAAGTATAACAGAAAAACCCATCACAGCGAAAGAAAATGTTTGATCTCTCCTGAGGATAACCTCCCTTCGGAGCGGGGGGAGAGGATTGATGTAATCCAATACAACGCGAAATACACACCTGAAAAGTTATAAGCATGCATCTACAGAGCTGAAAAATTGTATTCAACACTTACTTCCCCGTAATCCGTCTTCCGCCGACCCCCAAAAGGTCGATGCTTCGAAACGACAGACGAGTAATCAAAAGAAGGATTCTTCACATAGACATTTTCTGTTTGAGCACGTGCTCCACTGCGATACATGAGCATTGGCGCACTGGCTGTCCCACTGGACTCGTTAGCGAAGGTCGGTGAATCTTCTGTGATTCGACTGCGACGAGCCCAGCGTTGTTGGAATCGTTTGACCGCACTCGGATGCATCATGCTCGGTTCGTCTGACGGTTCGGCTGTGATCTGCTGTTGTTCCTGAGCACGCTCACGTTCGGGTTGAACCATCGGTTCAAAATGCGTTTTGGTACTAAATTTAATAGCACTCTTTCGTTTTTCCGCTGAATTGTGGACACCGCCGGAGGAAATTGAAACGCTCTTTCCGGTGAAGAACGACCGACGCCGTGGTTTCGATGGGGATGCCTCATTGTTGATGAAGAAACGTACATCTGTAGGGGGAGGAGTTCCCAAGGGAGCGGCTGTATCGACCGCGGGTGATATGGTGTCGGGCGGTAAAGCGGACCCTGTGCAACATGATTGATCTGGGAGCTTGCGTGGATCAGTCTCATCCACCGATGGCTTGACTTCCGAAGGTGGGGGGGTTTTGTTTGGAAATTCTAAATCACACCAATCGATAATCCAGCTGATGGCTTGCAGCTCAGCTCGTCTGAAAGCGATTAGAAACCAAGTACACTGAGTAGTCTTCAAAACAGTTTTCGTTACACCGGAAAAGTATGACCATTGGCAAGCAGTAGTGGTGGAGTAATCGACCGAAATCTTGAGTGTGATGGCTTGAATACCTGTAGCTCGAATCACTTCAAGATGTCAGCAAAGAGGAAGTGTGATGTGATCGAATTGAGCAGGACGTACTTAACCCCGGAGTCACAAAAACGATCTGACCCGTTATCTCCAATTCAAGTTAGAGTAAGCGGCCAACAGAAAGCAAGATGTAACGAGTAAAAAGTTGTCTGTTTCACTACCCCCCTCTGTTGATTGCGGCTTGAATTCGAGGTGAAAATTTGCGTCCGGAGACCAGCAAACAAGGAAGACAAGAAAACGAGCCTGTCTGATAGTCATGTTTCTCACAGTTAGGCTCAAGCGCGGCACTTCAAGTGTTAGTGAACACCAACACGTTTGAATCGAGTCTTTTGTGGAATCTACACGAGACAGGAGTCGACGGACATCAGTCGTTAATCGCAGCGGATGCGCGAGCGGGTTCGCGAGCTCTAGGCGACCCAGTGGGCAAGTGCGACCTCATGTGTTTGTATCCATCCACGGGCCTTTTCGGTCGCGCTAGGGATTCGTATCAGTGTGTGCGAGTGTTTCTCATTGGAATAACACAAAAGTTAAGAGAGTGCCGGGACTGTTCTTCCACGTTCATTCACGTCATAAGCACGTATTGGCAGCTGCATTGCTACGCGGAAGAGGAGATGCCACTGAAAAAGGATTCTTGACCTCTTCTGAGGACGTCCTCCACCCTAAGGAATGATCTCTGCAGGTGATGTATTCTATCGAGAGGTTCGTTGCAACCGGAAAGGGCTGTCTCAGACAAGTTATCGCTTATTCGGCCTCTCATGAGCGGGTGGAGTAATTTGAAGTTGTTTTAAACGTTATTAAAATTGGCGGTACATTCAAACAGCATACCTCAACAATAGTTGACCAGGTGGGAGGAGAGAGAACATAGCCATCTGCTTGTTCGACAGCACCGTCGAACATGTGTACCCATCGAGGACAAAAAACGAAACAGGTTACACAACGAAAGTCTAGACTGGGGCAAAGTAAACTCCGATTTGAATAGACCGAGACAACTATGATCTGCGAAATTGAACCGGACCGTATTCACACGTAGTGGACTTTTCAATCTAGCCCCGTCATCATTGGTCGTAAATCCACCCGACAACCGTGTGCACAACGGGTTCCAACAGTCGGCAAATGCGATGCAGATGCATTAATGAATTAGAAAGTGAAAAAGGAACATTCTACGGGAAGATTCGTGTCGATTATTTACACAATGTGATAAAGATGATATCGGAAAAGGGACGGCAAATTCCCTCACCTGTAGAAGTAGACACCCAAACTGATCCCAACAATGAGGAATACAGCAAACAAGGCGGTTCCAGAAGCAATGACGACTAAAACATCTGAAATCGATCAAAGGGGAAACAAATGGGGAATTAAAGAATACGTACGTACTACTACTGAGTGAAAAGATAGGTCAACGCACAGTAGAAAGAGTCTATCTGTGTCACAAACCGGGTCAAGGACTTGTGAATATCTTCAGGTATCAAGTCTGAGATATTGTCTGGTTGACCAAGCCAAGACAAGAGCAGCTGAGGTTGGGTTCGAACCATGGACGTCCCGGTTAGAAAATCCTCTCCTTACCCAATGAACTATCTCGAGCTTTGAGTATTCCCATAAATGTATTGACCAAAAATCCTATTTGAAGATACGAAAAGGTTTATGATTCATTTCTTTTAACAGTTTTGTGTAGATCTGGTACGTGTAAGATTTTAGTGTTGCATGTGAATTCCTGCCTAGTACTTTAATTCAACATAAGAATCGTTTCAAAAGCATTAAGAGATCACGTTTGTATGGGAACTAAGAGTTGTGTGATTTAGGACACATATGTAAGCCCAAGTACCAGGGAAACGGAAGAACGAAGACAGTGTCATCATCATCATCATCATCATCATCATCATCATCATCATCGTCATCGATGGCATGAGTGTTCAACACTGACACTTGGCAGCCGTACAACCATGATTTACTTGAAAGCCTCATTGTAAAGCAAAGAATAAAGGTGGACGGGGAAGGGACTTTGTGCTAGCTTATCACACTCGTTCCGAGGTGCCCACAGCCCCAGACATTCCAATCATACAATCTGGATAGAAAGTGACAACAAGAACGCCACTGACATCGGTTGGCAGCCACACCTTGTAGTGTCTCCAACCAGGCACAGTGAGGATCACACGGCCCCATCCAGCACCAACAACACTCAGGCGTTTAGTGATCTCTCATACTCCTCTGCAAAGTCAAGTGTTGGCCACCTCTCTGTTTACGCCACTCTGAATTGGGCATGAAAAACAGCACTCGCTTCCGCAAACGATGGTTCGGCAAGGGCAACACATGTTCCATCATACGCAGCTTCTGGTGCTGGACACATTCTTGCATAGAAGTAGCCGTTACACCACCGAACACTTAGAAATCGGTTACCTCGTTGCGACGTTGAATGGGTACCCTTTCCAATTCCTAAGTGAAGGAGTGCTTGAGGTATCGGTTCCCGATGGCTGTCATATCAACAGTCACCACTACAGTGAAGTATTCCTACAGAAAACGCATGCCAGGAGGGGCACACTAACAAAGTGGGTTGAAGTTGAACATTTGAGGCCAAACCAGAGAGACTGAAATGTTGGATCAGTTCGTTCCATAAAGAACGAGGCTGTCTGTTACGCATATTGGAGATTCTATTCAGAATGTCCAAATGATGGTATCTCAGCGTGCTTAGTTGGTCCTCGTTTCGTAAGGTCAGTTGCTATTGTAGGAGCAGGCGTCTTTTTGTCAAGTCCTGTGCTGAGTGCAAACGATCGATAGGTGGACAGCATATGACCTGGCAACGAAATATGAAAGCGTTAACCAGTGAACTTAGCCGGGCCAACAACTCCCGCAACCCTGGACAAAGACCCCGGAACTCAGCTCACGAGTACTTAACGACACTGGCAAAAGTGGCCCAATCGCGCAATCAGTGGCACTTGTGCATCAAAGCTATCACCTTCAATGCGTAGCTACCAAGCTCCCGAACTAACCAGATGTGCGCTCGCCTCCAAGACTTGTCCCGCACTCTCCCACATCCCGGTGATCGAAACTGTAGCAGCTGGAGCCACTGTACATATGGTACATGGTCTATAGCTGATAAAAGTGAGCTGAATCGATTTTACCTACATCATTAGTCATCCATCTGTACATGTTTCCGTTATAACAGGCTCATCTTTTTTTCTGGCTTGTGGTGTCTTCCATCGAGCGTGGTTGCCCAGGAGCTCGACCTCCATGGTGTGGCTCACCGATAAAATCAATGACCGGCTGTGTTGTTCTTAAGGAATTATCGTAGACTGGCTTGATGTAAGATTACCTAATCATATGAACCAGAGGCAGACAGAATAGGGGGGGAACTCGGGTGGGAAACTGGCACTTACTAAATTAGAATACCACTCAATGTTACAGCCCGGGACTCAGTTCCAGACGAATCGAACCTTACTGTCTCGTATCGTAAAACTCCAGCGACGAGAATTGAAAGCCCCAATAAAAACTAGATAAACCAATCAGAAAGCTCCCCTAAACCCGGATGATGAGTACAGTCCGGTAACTAGTGCTCTATCACCCAACCTAAATCTATGTATATACTTAGTGAAAAATTTCTGATAACCTAATCTTCGTTTTGTGTGCATAGGTTTGGGTAAATAAACCTAAATGTTCCGGCGTATAATGACCGCCGCCGTAGCAGAACTCTGGACATCCTGGCATGGCTAATAATCACAATGACAGATGGCTAACTGAGAACGGGTTTTCAGTTCGGCAGTCCCAGTAATTGCATTTCCCGGACGGATGCCGACGGAATCTTTATCTCGTGGCGTCCATCTTCCTTGCCATATGGCACACGAGTGCTGGTAAACACATGCACAAGCTTATCTACAGTCATTATCCGAGTGTGTCACATCCTTGAGACTTTTTTCCTCTCCTGAGTTGCTGTAGGTATTGGACGGCCAGTCAGGGAGGAGGGGCATGTTCTAGGATCGTTGTTGTCCGAGAGACTGCGCCAAAATCGGGGTTCATTCACGCGTAAATACAAGGCAGGCCGGGGGAAATCCAGTTCGATTTCTACATAGGAGAGGCAACAACCAGTCGAAATGGCATGTATGTGTGCATTGGGGTGAATAGTAGTCAGACAAGGATGTCGAACGGCTATTTGATGTGGATCACGAACGCTGCCTGCCGAGTAGTTACCGGGTCGGGCGGGAACAGAATAACTATTAGTTTTTTTTTGAAAGAATATCGAACTTTGATGAACCGAATTCCTCGTTTGTGTCGCACGGTAATCAGCGGGGCCCAGTGCAAATGTGGGAGTTTGGGTAGTACATTATCGAATCGTCAGCTGTGGTCTCCACTTTTCTAATTCGATCGGTTGTGCACACTGGAGTTGATTTTATCGCGTTCAAGTTTAATTCGTTTCTGATTCGTCTGTTACCGGTGATAGTCGGCCCGCAGCCACAGGCAAAGGGAGTGTCGATGAGAACAAGGCTCATGTCGAGAGCGTTAGCTACCTTGTCGCGCTGAGTAAGGTGAGACTCCCGCATACAGCAAGATGGAAATTAGCATATTTCAGTACAAAGAAAGCATTATTCCCAGCGAACCGACGGACCTTCCGGTCAGTAAGCCATCAACACACCCAAGCACGATGAATGTCCGCAAAGGAAGCACGAGGGCTGGAATACCGCCGAGTTGCCTAAGCCGAGACAGGGGAAGTCGAGAGGTAAAAATCGGGTTCGAACCACGGACCTTCCGGTCAGTAAGCCATCAGCACACCCAAGCACGATGAATGTCCTTTCGTTCTGAAATGGCGTCCTTATATGTTCAAACAGAATAATCACCGTTTGGTAAACGTCATCGTGTAGGTAGTGCTCATAGCTATTCGGTGTAAAATGGTCCTGAACGGTAAGAGCAAGTGACAAATCGAAAACGAAGCAAGAAAGTTCTATCTACCGAGCAAGCTGAAACAGTATCCAAGCGTGTATATTTGACCCTCATTTTCCAGGGGTAAGCTGTGCCGTAATAGACATTCAAGGTAGAAATGAAACGGTAGAGATCCAACGTATTTTCGAAATATTGTTCCACTGAACCGTCAACGCCCTTCCGGTCCTGGATGTGTTATAATCTGCCGAGAAAATACTGTTTTTCATCCAAAAGTCATTTGTTCTGTAGACAGTTGCCCACAGATTTCACACAAGTCGTCTGGACTTGGTGCGCACGCAATATTCTCGAGCGTAAACCAAATTCGTACTGATTCGGACTGATCAAACTGGCCATATTTTTCCATCCGAACTGCGGATAGGCAAAGTCCATAAAGGCTTAAATGTCTGAACAATGTTCATCTTAGGAATGTCTTGCACAAATACCTCAGAAAAAACTTGCGACATAATCGCTTTCTAGCATCACATCCGTCAGTAAACCTTTTTTTTTCGTGGTCTGCAATGGAACGGGGTTTTCTCTGGTGCGCGCGTTTCACAGGCGCACGCAAGGGAGTTACCAGGTGATACACTATCCATCCCTCGGTCGCTTCCGCTCAGCACAGGTTTGGGTGAAAAAAGTTCTGCAAGCCAGACAGCCTTCTGGAATGCGGAGTACGTGTCTTACTTGGTTCATAGATTGCTGGGCAGCTGTGAGTCGAAGGGTTTAATACAGGAGCACCACTGACTGCGTGACTGAGCCACATCTGCCAGTGTCAATAAGAACTGATGAGTTGAATCTCGGGGAGACGGTATGTGCCAACCCGATTGAGTTTACTGGTTAGCGTTTTCATACTTCGTTGCCGAATCATAGACTGTCCACTCTTCGATCGCTTCCAGTCAGCACAGGTAACACGAGTTATTGCTGTCAATGATGATGATACCTCTGTTGACGGCGTCGATACGTCCTCATAAATCCACAAACTTGAAGACCCTTTTGAGGTTGGACACACGGTCTTTTCTTAGATGCTTGGTATCAATCTTAGAACTTGGGAAGGCGTCCATTTGTTCCGTGTTTACTACGGAAATCGACTTTTCTGAGGAGAAATACGCTATAGAACCCCATAGAATGCTTCAGTCCAAGGTCGTTTCATTGCAGTTGCAGTATCTCAGTTACAAACCGTGCACTGAAGTCCGGTGTTTCCAGCTGCTACAGCGTTGTTCGCCCAAGATAGCAGCAATAAGGGAATGAGAGCGAAGCGCTGGAGCCAATGGCCCAATCAATTCACTGGCGGTAGGTGGTTGTGTTCATACGGTATGGCAGGAGGTGAGAGCTGCGCAGTGGGCGTGATGACCTTGATGCAGAGGCCCCATTGGCTGGGTGACGCAGCCAGGGTCACCAGCCATTGGTTTGTCTCGCCACGCGGTGCGCATCAAAAAAACGGATCGCTTTGATGTGATTGTTCAAGTCGAACAAGGTGTTCCATGCTGAGCAGGCGTGATTGATGACGTAATTGTCAGTTACTTGAACCAACTTACTCTCCCTTGAGATGTGGACTTGATCCGCTTGTCGAGGTTTTCAATTCGTATTCGAGTCATTCTGGCTGGCTACCGATTCGTGGACCACAGCAAGTTTATTCCGTAGACAGCGGCTTTTTTTCTTTGTTGGTGTCTCAGTCTGGTGAGCAACTTGGTGAGCGACAAGTAACACGCACACGTTTCAGAAATTCGTCTGAGAGTGACAGATGGTGGGTTTAGCTTAGCTCGTTCCAGCTACTTTATAATTCATCTGGCGCAGGCTAGTTACAAAGTACTTATTTAAGAGCGTGGACGTCTGCGGTCTCTTATCTTAGACAAACAACTTCGTTGGGCTGTGAAGCGACTACCTTTGGAAAGATGCTGGCGGATGTGAATGAAAAAAGGTACGAAGAAGGATAACATTTTTGTAGGATGGTTTACTCTGAAACATTTTAGCCAAAATTCGCCAAGTACTTCCGTGGCATGAAAACCAGTAGACGATGTCCTTTCGAACTGGCAATGTCAAACATATTCACTAGCGGAATTAAATGTAAAAATGGGTCACGCCAGAGGATAGCAATGGCTGAACAGGACACCATCTACGCTCCGAGAGCCTTGACCCCACGTGGGGTCTCACCCTTGTGAGACCGTCCATCAGTCCAGATCAAATCGGGCCAGTAAAAGACGGTTACTCTGTTGGAATAGTGAGCAACAGAGGCACTGATCGTTCTGGAAGTGAGTGTTCACTGATAGTTATTATCGTCGTTGTTAGGGACAATGGTACTCCAGTGCAGATTAATATGGAACAGTTTTGGGGTTTTGTGGAATAGGTATTTTGTTCACGT